GATATGGTTTGGAGCCAGCAAACAGGGGCAGCAAACAGGAGTCTTGCGAGGGGTTCTGAGTGGGAACGTGGGAGCAGATACACCTAACCCCCCACACCCCAAATAACCCTGCAAGAGTAAAGCTAATGCAGACAGACGTCCAGCAGCAGAGCAGGGGGTGTCCAGGTTATTGCACTCAGTGCAGCCTGTGGGATTACCTGCCTTGTGGGCAGGTGGCGTAGGTGTGCACTCGGTGCAAGCAACTCACGACCCTCAGAGACCGTATACGGGCTTTGGAGAGCAGAGCGACAGCTGCAGGAGCTGAGGCAGACAGAGAGGTGCAGAGAGGAGACGTTCTGGGGCCCAGCAGAGTTGTCCCACCCCCACACTCCCACTTGACAGCCTCGGTGCGGTTGTGGAGAAGGAAAGTCTCAGGGAAGGAGAAGCCACGCTGGAGCAGAGGGAAACGATCCCATAGTTGGGACCCTCCTTCCAGACGATGTCGTGGTAACCTCTTGCCCTGAGGCCACCCCTCCGGAAGAGCCAGGTAATAGTAACGGGGGAGTGGAGGGATCATTAGAAACATAGAGAGCTGGGTTTGCGATGACCGGGAGAACCGCAGGGTGACTTGCCTGCCTGGTGCAAAGGTTGCGGATCTCTCAAGACATCTAGACAGGCTCATGTGCAGTGTTGGGGAGGAGCCAGTGGTCGTGGTACAGGTAGGTACCAAGTAGGACATAGGGGAGGATAGGAGAGAGGTTCTGGAGGCCACATTTAGGCTGCTAGGTAAGAGATTGAAGTCCAGGACCTCCATGGCTGCATTCTCTGAAATGCTTCTAGTCCCATGTGCAGGGCGAGTTAGACAGGCAGAACTGCAGGGTCTCAATGCGTGAATGAGACGATGGTGTAGGGAGGAGGGGTTTAGATTTATTAGGAACTGGGGAAACTTTTGGGAAAGGGGGAGCCTATCGAGGAAGGATGAGCTCCACCTAAACCAAAACAGAACCAGATTGCTGGCATGTCAAATTAAAAAGGTCGTAGAGGAGTTTTTAAACTAAGGGCTGGGGAAAGCCGACAGGCCTGGAGAAACACATTCTCTGTCTCCTGGTAAGGAGGAGAGGATAGAAGTTGATAACGTACAGGTAGGAGCTAAGAAAAACAGTCAATTGAAGAGAGCCCCATTCAAGTACATCGCATGAAGGCAGACAACTAAATATTGACAGATGTTATAAGTGCTTGTATACAAATGCAAGAAGTCTAAATCCTTAGATGGGTGAACTTGAGCGCCTGGTATTAAATGATGATATTGATATAACAGGCATCACAGAACGTGATAATCAATGGGACCCGATAATACCAGAGTATAAAATCGATAGAAATGACAGAGTCGGTCACGCGGGCGGGCGAGTGGCACTAGATGTGAAAGAAAACAGAGTCAAATAGAGTAACAATCTGAAATGAAGAAAACTCTACCACAGAATCTCGGTGGATAGAAATTCCCTCCTGGAATAATAAGAATAGAGCAGTAGGAATATACTACCGATCACCTGACCAGCCCCACCACAACAGTGACTGTGAAATGCTCAGGGAGATTAGAGAGGCTCGAAAAATAGAAAACACCGTAATAATGGGGGATTTCAACAATCCCCATAGTGACTGGTACATGTCACCTCAGGACGGGAGGGGCCAGAGTACAGAACAGAATTATCAGACACAGAGATGAACACAGTACATGGGGGAAGAGACAACATGGCTTCTCTAATGGGAAATCAAGCCTCACCAATCTGTTAGAATTCTTTGAGGGGTCAACAAGCTGGGAACAAGGGTGATCCGGGAGATATAGTGTCTCTTGGACTTTCAGAAAGCCTTGGACAAAGGCTCTTGCACAAAGTAAGCTGTCATGGAATAAGAGGGAAGGTCTTCTCCTGGATCAGTAACGGGTTAAAAGGCAGGAAACAAAAGGTAGGAAGAAATGGTCAGTTTTCACAGTGACGAAGGGTAGATGGTGGGGGGGTCCCCCAAGGATCTGTACTGGGCCAAGTGCTGTTCAACCTATTGTAGTTCTGTGTGAGTTCATTTGCATGTGCAGTGATTGTCTCATTTCACCCACAGAGTTGCTATTGGGACATTTCACGCACTGGGTGAGGTACCCCACGTGTTGTGATAGGCGTGTGTAGGAGCCATGGATCTCGAAAGGTGTGTTGTGGAGGGTGTTGATCATTGCAGCAATGGAGCTACGGCTGCGGGTTTTGCATCTGTTGTTCGGGCAGGGTCTGGTGCTGCTTTGAATTGGTGTGAGCTGGTCTGTGGGGAGCCTGCTTCTGATGATGAGTTTGGAGAGGGTGGGAGGTTGCTTGAAAGCTGGGCGAGGAGGGTTAGGAAACATTTCTTTCAGGATCAGGTCCCCATCGAGTGTGGGCTGTCGTTGTTTTATGATACCCCGTATGGGGTCCAGTGCAGGGTGGGAGGTGACAGCTCGGGGTGTGCGGGAAGGGGGGGGGGGTTATTTCTGTGTTGAAGTAGGTATTTGGGTGGCCTGTTCCATGACGTGATCTACTTCTCTGATGGAGCGTCCTCGTTCGGCAAAGGCAGGTTTGAGTGTGGGAAGGTGTGTATCCCGGACTTTCTCCTCGGAGCACATTCTGCGGTATCTGAGCACCTGGCCGTAGAGAACAGATTTCTTGGTGTGTCTGGCGCGGTTACTGGATCTGTGGAGGTAGGTGTGGTGATCTGTGGGTTTCTGGTATACAGTTGTCTATAGGGTTCCATTGTTGAAGCCGATCGTGGGGTCCAAGAAGTTGATGTTGGTGTGGGCGTGTTCCAGAGTTTGATAGGTGGGTGATGGTGGTTGAAGTCGTGGTAGAAATCTCGGAGGGAGTATCATCGCTGTATCTCAGGAATAGCATTGGTTTCCTGGTGCATTTGTCCAGCAATTTTTCCTCAAGGTGCCCATGGAGAGGTTGGCACACTGGGGAGCCCTCCTGGTACCCATTGCAGTTCCCATGGCTTGGACAGAGGGTTGGCTGTGGAATGTGAGATTGTCATGGGTGAGGGTGAAATGGATGAGTCTGGCGATGTGTTTGGGGGAGAGCTGGGGCCTGTCCAGTGTCTTGTAAATATTTGAAGCCGGCAGCGATGCCGTCATGGAGAGGGATGTTGGTGTATCCGTGGTGGCCAGGACGCTGTTCTGGGGGAGGTTGTTAATATTGTGGAGTTTGTGGAACCATTAGGAGAGGGATAGGTAATAAGACAGCAAATATCATCTTGCCTCTATATAAATCCATGGTTCGCCCACACCTGGAATATGACCTCAGTTCCAGTCACTCCATTCCAAATCAGATTAGAACTGGAAAAGGTGCAGAAAAGGGCAACAAAATGGATTAGGGGTACGGAACCGCTTCCATATGGGGGGGGATTCAAATGACTGGGACTGTTTAGCTGGGAAAAGAGACGACTAAGGGGGATATGACAGAGGTCTATAAAATCACGACTGGTGTGGAGCAAGTGAATATGGAAGTGTTATTTACCCCGTCGCATAATATAAGAACCAGGGATCATCCAATGAAATTAACAGGCAGCAGGTTTAAAACAAACAAAAGGAAGTATTTCTTCACACAAAGCACAGTCAACCTGTGGAACTCCTTGCCAGAGGATGTTGTGAAGGGCAAAACTATAACTCGGTTCAAAAAAGAACTAGACAAGTTCATTGAGGATAGATCCATCAATGGCTATTAGCCAAGATGGTCAGGGTGCAACCTCATATCCTGTCCCAGAAGCTGGGACAAGATGACAGGGAATGGAGCACTCGAGAATTGTCCTGTTCTGTTCATTCCTTCTGAAGCATCTGGCTCCGGCCACTGTCGGCAGACAGGATACTGGGCTGGATGGACCTTTGGTCTGACCCAGTGTGGCCGTTGTGATGTTCTAAAGGTCAGTGGGAGCTGGTCCATCTTTCCAGCTCTCCCTGTGCAGGTGAAGGAGGGGACGGGAGATGGATGCCGGCTGGGGGGGCTGAACACTGCTCACCAGCCGCCGGGCCCCCAGGCTGCAACCAGCATTTCGCTCCCCCATTCTGCTCGGGGACAGGGTCATCGGTGCCTGCTGGGGACAGTCCCGGGTCGGGAGATCAGCGACAGCTCCCCGGGTGGAAAGGGCCATGACGGGCCAGGAGACCCTCCTGGCCCTGGGGCTGGTTACAGCTGGGCCCCCAGCACTGTCCCTAGGGGCCCCTCCTGCAGGTGCTTCCTGAGGCCTGTTCGCAGCCCAAGCCCCACAGGAGCTTGTGCCACAGGGGGGCGCTCTCCTCGGCCGGGAGGGATCACTGCTGCACAGACAGGGGTCAGTCCTCGCTTGGTGCAACAACTGGAAGGAGCCCAGACGCTGCAGTGATGGGTGCGTGATAAGAACCTACAGAGAAGAGAACTGAGCAAAGGAACTTTGTTAGTGAATCTCGAGAGATCAGCCGTGCAACACGACCGCGGGTCACGCCTGGGCATGTGGCTGTGGGACAAACACACCCCAAGCACACACTGAGCCCCGGGCCTGGAAGTACACCCCAGACACGCACAACCTCCCACCCAGAGAGACACCAGGCAAACTCCCACAGATGTGCCAGCCGCTCTGTGGGGCGATCGGCGCGGGCAGCTGGGAGTCTAAGGGGATCGCAGCCAGATTTGGGGCACGGAGCCTCTTGCCCGGGGCTGTTTGGCTGGGGGGAGCCGGGACTTTGAATATACAGGAGGCTCCTGATCAGCTCGCCCACATCCAGTGAGGGCTGCAGAGGTGCGGCCAGAACCCAGATCCCCCCACCACGTCAGTTACAGGGGACTCTGCTGGCAGGAGGGGGCCTATGACACCCAGTGGAGCAGCTCCGATGCTGTCCAGCAGAGGGCAGTGGTGTCTCTCACACACACATGTGCTACCCAGTCCATTCCAGCGCCCCCTGCAGGACGCGTGTGTTTGCACTAGGACTTGCTCGGTTCCTGCGGTGCTGACCTGCCGTCTCTCTCTCCCGCCCGCAGCTCTACGAACTGGACGACGACCCCAAGCGGAAGGAGTTTCTGGACGACCTCTTTGGCTTCATGCAGAAGAGAGGTAAGGGAAGGCCGCGGTTTTGGGGGTCCCCGGCTGGGAGCCCGGCTGCAGAGAGGCGTTACAGGGGGTGGGGGGGCTTGTGACTCACACTCACACTGGGCGGTAGCTTCAGTCCAGTTCTCCAGACCCACCCTCAGCCACTGCCCCGCTCGGTCTAATCGACGGCATGGGGCTGGCGGGAAGACGACCCTTCATGCTCTGGGGGGTGGAGGGGTGCAGGGCCTGTGGGGAGAAAGGGAAGTAGTGGACAAGTCCCCGTGGAAGTCTGGACAGACAGGTGCCCCCTGGGGTCACTCTGGAGCTGAGATCCATTGCTGGCTCTGTTGGCTGGAGCCGGCTCTGGGGCTGCGGCGGGGACGTTATGGGGCCGGATTCATGTTGCTGGTTCTGGCTGCAGGCTCTCGGATCTGGGTTGGAGGCGTCTGCAGGATGCGGGTCCATTTGCTGGCTCTGCTCTGAGATTCTGGGGGGCAGGAGGAGCTGCTGCATTCCTGGGGGGGGGCTTGCCTGTGGTGTCGGAGCTGGGAGGGCCACAGGGACCTCGATCCCTTGGCTGGTTCCACTCTCGCGCCTGTCCTGGATAGAATGGTGTCTGGCACAGAGGGGTTCTCGCCAGGGGCTAGGAGGGGGCAAAGTTAGGGTTTCCTGGACTATGATCGACTGGGGTGCTCTACAGGTCAGGGTTAAGGGGCACCAGCAGAGCTGTGAGGGGAGCCCAGGGCTGGGCTAGCAGGGGGCTGCAGGTCAGGAGTGAGGGGCACCGGCGAGAGCGTGGGGGGCTGGCGGGTCGGCAGG